GGAAAAGTACGAAAACAGCATAAATTCACTTTTAATTATATCCAACAAGACAACAGCCGGATAGAGCATTATTTGGGATTTTGGACAAACACTTGGCTGAGTATGATTCGTTTCAAAAACCAAAAATGAAGTATGGAAACAGAATGAAACAAAATACTAGATAGAAATAACCTATTAGCCGAGGTGAAATAAACTGATGAATGAAGTGAAAATAAAGTAATTGAAGTGAAGGTGACTGATGGTTTTACTCCAACTCTCCATTAGCTGGGTTAGTTGTTATTTTTCCGTCGGGTATCTACCACACTACCACACGTACCTACAAAGTCTTAGGTCTACATGAGAGAGGGGTTAAGGTGTTTATAGCATAAGGTATTTATAGACAAGTAGATAGGGCAATATTGCGGTATTAATTTTATATAGCTTATAATATTTTAATAATTAGATTTACCTAACTATTACACATTGTAGATAAGGCAATTTGTGAAATTAATTTTACACAGCGGATAATATTTCAATTATCAGATTTATCTGACTGTTACATGAGGAAACATTCTAAAATTTATTTAAGACAAGTAGGTAAGGTAAATCATAAAATCAATTTAAGACACTCATAACGCAGGTACCTAGAACAGGTATCTATGATATAAATAAGGCTAGCTTTGTAAGTATGATTAGTTTCATCTTCCTCTTGAAGATGATTACTTAGTGATCGAAACACGTGTCGAGGTGTTGAAATAACGGTTTGGTATTGGAAAAACTCCAGTAATATTCATTACTACACCAGAGGTTCCAAACTCTGTATCACAATTACTCAGTTATGTACGGTTATGGAACACAGAGAATATACTGGTGGAGATTTGCAAAGTGGTACATTTGCCCAAATTTGCACAACTGCAATTGTCCCGCATTCAATGATCCTGGGAGACTTATTCCAGGTGGAGTATACCTCAATTGAAGTATCCAGCTAGCTATACAGTATCGGGATTACCTGGGATCAATGATTGAACCAGNCAAGAAGCATAATGATGCATTCGTTGAGAAAATTTACTTTGAAATTAATATCTTGCATAGTCACAATATCACCTCATGGTAAGTTAGCAGCATCTTGAGAAAAAAGTTCATGATTGAAATTCTTGAAATTTCTATGAAAAAATCAAGTTATCATGAGTATCTTCACCTTCGAAATCAATATCGCAAAATACCAACAGGTGATCAGTTACACCATTCATATCAAGTGTATTAAAATTTCTTACCATTACTTCCTTACTAATGCAAATGACATCAATCAGAGATTCAGAAGTTGTTGTTATTCGAGTAGAATTTTCTACAATTTGATGCATATCGAAACAAAAAACTAGGGCAGTGAATAGTTGAGTGTCGCGAGAGTCACAGTTTAACAAATTAATATCAATATCACCACACATATTTTTACAAATATACTCGTTCCAGTACCTACATCACCTAACTCCTGCATACAGTCCTCTACATTTGTTCGTGGTGGTCGATAAACAACTCCACAGGCTACTTTTCCTTTTTTACATTGACTATAATCCATAACTGCTCCAGACCATTTGCCGAAATAGAAGAGTAGTATCATTTGTATTTATACAGTGATTTGATGAAAAAACAGACTCCACCACCTCTACCATCACGGTCAATACGTATCAAGTTGAAGTTAGGAATAGTAACAAATTTATCTGGATATTCTGGAGCGAGCCATGTTTCCGTGACTCCAATTATTGAAATTTTGTTATTATTTATAGAGTCTTTGAAATCACCAAAACAATTATTCAGTGAACGAATATTCACGTGACCGAATGTTATATTCAGTTTTTTGATTTCCTGATAGAAGAAAACGTCATAAACATATTTGATGTATATGTTATCCTCGCCATTTTATTTTCGTTCATTAAATTGCAAGAGAACCTTTTTTGAATATTCACGTCGAAGAATTGTCTTATCGGTACTAATCTGAACATTGAATTTGTAATGTTTTAGTTTATGTTTATTTTTCAATACCACCTAGACGTCTTCTGGTCTATTCAGAATTACTTTCAGAGGTTGTGGCTGAACACTTCTTCTTCCAATCCTGGATGTTTTGATATCTTCAGTATCCACTGACGGGGCAATAGCTCCAATTATATCTTTGGCATTTTTCATATCGGAGTCTTGGTCACCATCCTTCAGTTTAAATGTAATTATATTTTTTCTTTTCGTTGTCTTTCCGAAATTTCAGTTATGAAGATTTCAGCATTATCAGAGTATTTATTCTCCTTGATTTTCTTGATTTATTTCTGCAAAACTTCCACTAATGCAGTGAGATCCTTGATCGCCCGAGTCAATTCGCGCCAATTGGCACACGCTATACCCGTTGAGATAACAGATTCCCCGCCCATAAGTTGTCTGCAATTCTCGCACTTATAAAAAGTCCCTTCCATGCTAGTAAACACAGCACTTTGTTCTTTAGACACCCATATTTGGAATAACGTATTCGAGAAACATGGAGATTCAAGAGCTGTTGCGCTTGATATTTCTAAGGCCTTTGACCGTGTGTGGCATGAGGGTTTGCTGGCCAAACTTCGATGCTATGTCTTGTCGGATCATTTCTGTGTATGGCTCTCCAGATTCCTGAAAAAATGTCCTCTACAAGTGGCCGTCGATGGATTTCTTTTCAATACTTTCACCATCAGCGCTGGTGTTTCCCAGGGATCCATATTGCCTCCAACCCTCTTTTTATTGTGAATCAACGGCTTATTGGAAAAAGGCAAAAATCCAATATATTGCTTCGCTGACAAGAGCACACTTGTCTTGTCATTACATTTGGATATTACTGGAGTTTTTAACTGAGTTTAATCTTCCTCTATGAAGATGATCACTTGGTGATCGAAACACGTGTCGAGGTGTTAAAAATAACGATTTGTTGTAGGGAAAAAACTCCAGTAATATTCATTACTTCACCAAAGGTTCCAAACAGTGCATCACAATTACATTTGGATCCCAGGATATCGGCTGCGGATGCACATCTTCACCGGCAGCAGGAGGTTGAATATCTTGGTGAGGATCTAGAAGTGATTTCAAATTAGGATGAAAGTAACCAAATTCAATTCAGTGCCACGGAAGCCCAGGCATCGGTTTTCTCCAAAAAGATAAATGACTCCGAACCGGATATAATAATGTCAGGTCAGACAATTCAGCTTTCTGCTTCGATAAGTTTGTTGGAGGTTAAAATGGACACCAATATGTCTTGGAATGATCATGTCGCTGGAATTGCAAAGGCTGCTTCTCAAAAGCTTGAAACACTGTTCCGAACCAGAGAACTATACACACCTCAGCAAATTTTGATGCTTTATAAAGGTTAGATCAGACCTTCTTTGGAGTATTGTTCTGAGGTATGAAGCTCTGCCTCCAAACATACCCTGAAGTTTCTGGATTCCATCCAGAAAGAGCTGTTCAGAATATCATAACTTTTTATATTTTGTGTAGACTTTCAAGATCTGGCAACATTTACTGTCTTGTATTTGTAGGCGAATGTTTTTTTTCGTTATTGAACAACTGCATCACCCTTATGTATCTAGGTAGATTTCTGGCCCTTGCCACATGTTGGGTTTTAGATATTTGAAGTTGTGTTAATAATAACTTTTTGTGCGATTCAAGCAGAGTAAAATATCATACAGTCCACGACGGTTGTTTCGTAATAATCTAAAGAAGTGAACATTAAATACAGACAGCAAACACTAGAGTTTTTCTTGTTTAGAATAATTGGAGTTCGAATTCAAGAGGATAAACCCCAAAAAGAGCCATCCACCTGATTGGAGACGCGAACATCACGTACCACGTGGATAGCCTGGAAAATCGAAAAAAGATTGGAGATTTGTCTATCTTCTCCAGATACTTCCACTGGAGTTGATCAAGTGACTTGGCACATTTGATTCCACCAAGAGCGATACATATCAAAAATACGCGACGGACTGTGGCTGCTCATCGTTTTGAGGTTCAACTAAGTACACCTCGAACTTCACTGTCAAGGAACTCTTCCATTTGGAGAACTGCGTTTATGTGAGAACGTTTTTCCAAATGGATTTAATCTTCAGCGATTCAAATCCAATATAAATCGCTACATTCGCACACGCACCCCTCTGGGAGACACTTGTCTTACGAATTTTTCATAACTAGTCTCAAGTTTAAATTGAAAAAGGTACATTGAAATCATTATGTGATATGGGTGATGTCGGTTGTGAACATCAAAATACATATTATGAGATGTGAATGACGAAGCCCAGAGCATCCCTACATATGAATAAATTATTCGAAAATTAGTGTCAATATTTCACAACTACAATCTTCCTCATTTCTGCAATCATTAGGTAATGAATGATACTGGTTCGGTTATGGTCGGAAGAGATTTTGTAATCTGAAGGACGAAATTACAACATTCGATGTAAAGAACAGCTTTGTATAACACTTTCAGTAACTCACGGTGATAGTCATTTCACTTACGCTTCGGTTCTCGATCGTCAAATGTTCACGAGGATTTTTTTCGCGTTGTGCTGTGCGCTAAAAGTAGTTGCCGCAAATATTGGTGAGTTGCGACATGGAGATATGGATTTGTTTCCTGATTTACCTGTGGGACATGTGGATACGGATAATATTCTCTGTCAGGATCACTTCAAGTTGTACATCGAACACTTGAAAAATATGAGTTTGTGGGCTTATAAAAGTGAGTTGAAACATATATTTATGTTTAAAAGAAAGTATGATCAATTTCACAGAACTATTTTGTTAATAATTATTCAGAGACCTAACTATTGTTGAAACGTAGTTTCTATTACTTAAGCAAACGTTCCATAATGATCATCATTTTAATGATTTTTTTGGGAAAATTGAAAGCAACATCTAATTTCGGTAATCTATATCGCTATTGACGATTGTTTTCCTTCATTGAAACATGAAAGCAGAAAAAAATACAAATTGGTGATCCAATCGAAAGCATAGAGGATATAAAAATTTTCTACTTCGATTTTCGGAAAAAAAATCCACCAAAGGTTCGGTAATTCCTTGAGATGTGGAGAGAGAATCAGGAAAAGCTCCACTGATACTGAAATGTGCGATAATTTGAGGATATATAGTTCTTGCAATTCATTTCCATTTTTCAGTTTTCTTCATCTATTTTTGAGAGTAGTTGTGATATGAATTGAATTCAAGAGAGTTTTTCTCGGCGAATTTTCTCTAGAGATCTACAAATGGATTGATTGAGAAACTGGTGTTGGTGTTTGCCGAATTCCCTGGCCACTAAGACGTAAAACGACCACAGCTTATAGATGATTCATCAATTATCTATTTCTGAAATGTGGGTCATTCGGAATTCTACAGTGGATTTTCAGTGAGTGCTGATGAGGTTGTGTTGGGATACATCTCGTCAAAAGTTTCCATTTTGAAGTAAGATGTGATATTTCTCACGTATCTAGTCTTGTAAGACAGTTTGAGAGCCACACTTTTCACGATCGATATAGCCCTGTAGCTATCTGATGATGCCGTCAGCGGTTGGATTTCAAAGGAAACAACTACAGTGTTTGACAAAGATTTTGTGATTTTGTAATTAGATACCAAAAATTTTGCGTGGTTTAATTAAGTTCATCAAAACGGAAATACTAATATTTCGATAACACTTCCAAAATACAAATCATGAAATTATAAAACAACAAAAAATTACTTGGCGCTCCGAGGCGGCTTTATTGATTCCAGTGGCGCATTTGCTTTCACAGCTGCAGGAAAACCGGGAAAAACCTGCCGTTCATGAGTTAGTCTGTTTCTTTTTATTTATACCCACCTCGTGTAACAATGATCTGTTATAAGATGAAGAAAGTTGATTTGAAGCTAGACCTTGCTTCCTTTGTTGGGATATTGTGTGTGTGTTTTCGATATTTGGTTTTATATACAGTGCTAGTCAAAAGTCCCCTCCCCCCCTCGTATCTTTTGAACGGGTATACTTATAATAATGAAATTTGGAGTGTGGAAATAAACGGATGTAGGCTTCTTAACTGGTCACATAAAGTTATTTCGGTTGAACATTCAACTTGCAAAAGTTTTGATTTGAATTCTAGTCTTCAATTGAATGAATTTGAAAAGTATACTTCTTGAATTGGATTCAAAACATAAAAATATTCACTAACATATTTTCAAGAAAGAAGCAATCCTGTTTCCGATATTCGTGACAAATGTGATACAGTTAGTTCATTTATACATGACGTTCACTTGGCTGGTGAAATGCACATCGAGAAGACTGATACATGTCTGGTTAGTGTGAGCTGAATTTATGTTCGATACTTCCTGAAGAATAAAATTCAACTGATATGAAGGGTATCTTCACTAATACAAGCCAATAATTAATCAAATGGCATGTTTTTCTTGAGACAAAAATAGTTTCCACCAGGAAATGTGACAGCGAATGTAATAAACAAGTGGGTAAACAAGAATTTCTGATCGATATGGAGGCTTCGCTAGTCTCCCTGATTTTTTAACGTTACTTCACTTGTTCCTTGATCGAGAGCAAGATAGCGTTACATGTGCCCAGTTGGAACTTACGCAGGTCGGTTCTAGATTTTTGATAGAAATTCAATGTACCAAAATGAGAGCTTCCATTTGGACGCCATCTACAGGAGTTTCTAGAAATACTGTACCCCTTTTCAACACTTGTCACTGTGGACCAACTTTGTTATGCCGGGATAAAAGACACTGCAAGCACACCAATAAAACATGAAGTACTATCCACTTGAGAGTTTTAATAAGGACTTGCATCCCCAACCTTGAGATGAATTTATTAACAAAAATACTGTATAAATGAATCAGTGTCAATGTTCTGAACTTCTTCCAATAATGGACTTAATAAAAAATATAACTAAGTGAAGGGTGTTACCCTGGGGTTTGATGCACTATTTCCAGAAACCATTGAGGGAATTCAAAGCCCTTGTTATACACTCATCCAATTAGACTTCTCTGATTCTTGAGATCCAGGATTCCGGCAGTCTCCAACAAAAGTTACCTCAGATATACTTTTTACAGTGCAGCCAGGCATGTCCAAGATGATTTTCATGTATCCAGTTAATTCCTGTTTTTATGCTACTAGCGGTTCTCATACTTTTCATGATCGTATGCTTCTTACGATTTTATAATTTTCCATGATCCTATGGTATTTATGCTTTTGTGATCTCACGATGTTTATGCTTTTTCTCAGTTTTTGACGATTTTGCCTGGTAGAACTACAATACAAAAATAACTGTTTCAAAAAATCCTAATGACCCTTCTGTTAGTTACAATTAACAAACTCAAAATATGATTTTATATAATCCTCTTCTGAACTACAATTACCTCAAGAATTAGAAGTTATTCGGATGGATGATTTCCACAAAATTTATTGAAATCACCACTGAGTGTTTTGTAAGAACAGAAAATACCCTTTCAAAACTGTTCACAAACAGAATCGGTATCGTCCAAACAATTTTTCGATTTGTTACAGCAGTCCTTCCAGACATATACACAAAGCTCATCGATTCTGAGTATGTCATTACTAAAAGCAGTTTGTGTCTGAAAGTTATTTCTTTGCATGATCTACACATTCATGTATAGAGTTTCAAATTGATTACTTCCTTCCTTTCTTTGGAAATTCTCTCATCCCTTTTTTTTATATCAAATGGAGTAGTAGAAAGCCAAAAACTTTCTTTCCCAAAAAATTAAAAAAAAATTAATCACTCCTAAAAATATAACCCCTTCAATTCATAAAAGTAGATATTTCTGTCTGTACCTCACTTCTCACTCTAAGTTACCTACACTATGAGGATGAATTATATGACTGAATAAAACTACACTATGAAAATGAATTCTATGACTTGAACGAAGAAGAAGAGTACTATTCGACGTCTATTTGCATACGGAACCGTAATAAGAATGAAAATAAACAATATGGACTTCTATGGAATAGGTGTCAGCATTCTGATTATTATTCATCTGTAGTACTATTGTAAAAAGACTGCTCTGAATAATCCCAGATCTGTGAAAATATCAAATAATTTTTTTTAAATGATTTCTATGTTACAATCTACAAGTTATAATTGGCAATAGGGTTTCTTTGTGTTCAGGTTTTGTCACAAACAATATAAAATGAAGAGTGAAAAAATGGAATATTACAACTTATAATCTCACTTATCAAGTTCTTTGCACTTCGTTAGAAATCAATTTTCCTTCAATTCCTGAGTCCGTTTTTTTCCATTTTTCTGTTGATAGTCAGAAATAGTCAGAAACAGCATACAACTTTTGTGAGAGATTCACTGATGACGTCAAAACCATTGAAGAAATGTGTTGAATATTGGATGGAGGACAGAAAAACAATATGCAGTTATAATGTGCAGATCAAGAAACATAACCAAACGAAGAAACCCTTCACAGATGAGCTATCTTCTACAATTGAACACTATGCAAGTATGAAATACACGTTTTGTCAATCTTGTAATGAGAAATTCAAAACTACAGAAGGTTTGAGAATCCACTTTTCAAAAATTCATAAATCAGAGCCGACAATGTTTCCTCCTTCCGTCCGATACTGTGCACTGAGACAATAACATTTCCAATACCTGTCCGGAATGGTTCATTCACAGATTAGGGAGTCGATCTAAAAAAAAATTTCTCAAAATCAGGGCTATTCAAATTTGTTTCTGTACATGGGGATCTCGTAAACGATAAGAGATAGAGTATCGGTTAAATTATGGAAAAGTTGCGTATTTTAGATACCTATTCAATGTTGTGAAAAAATCGAATATAGCTCTTTTGGTTCTGGAGATAAACAGGAAAAAGAAAAAATCCCAAATTATATTTTTGCCTATATATTCTTTACTCGCAGACATATTGAAAATTTGTCCACATTTTGCTATTGGCACATGATGTGGGCTCTCAGAATATATCCATGAATCTTTTATACAGGATGTCATCTGACTTGGGCCACCCCCATCTTTGAATTTCTGAATTCGGACCTCTATTTTTTGTTGTAGTTTTTGGATCGTAGACGTTCACTCCATACTAAGAAATTAAATTCAATTTTTTATTTCGGGATTTTTCGGTAATATTCGATTATGATTGTGTGAATTATTACCTTTTAAATTACGGCCCTGGAAATTGACTGACTGAGTTGAATAAAAACACATATTTTCAGCTAATCATTTTCAATTCTTCTTTTTTAGTTGTTTCAGGGATTTCAAATCATTTTATATAGTAGACAATGGAAGTCCGAACTAGTGAAATTTATTCATGGATTTATTCTGAGAGCCCACATCAAGTGCCAATAGCAAAATGTTGACAGATTTTCAATATGTCTGCGAATAAAGAAGATATAGGAAAAAAATAATTTGGGTTTTTTTTGTTTTTCCTGTATATCTCCAGAACCAAAAGAGCTATACTCGATTTATCTACATCATTGAATAGGTCCCTAAAATACGCAACTTTGCCAACATTCAACGACATTCTATCTCTTATCGTTTACGAGATCCCCATGTACAGAAACGAATTTGAATAGCCCTGTATAAATATTCGGATGACGATCTCACTTTGGCAATTCGTATTTTTACTTCAACGTTTTGAAATGGACGACACTGTTAGTTTTTCTTCACTGGTAGATTTTGTTGAATCTAGTTGTCGCAGAACAAAAAGTAGATAGTTGGTCATTGTCAATTCTTCACGAATTATTATTCAGTCATCCTTGTTCACTGTGTTTCAACATGGTCTATTCTACTGAAGGAAGAATAGAAATTGTTGCAAACGTTCAACATTCAATTTATCAATAACGAATGAATTAATTTCAAATGAAATTACAAAAGTAATAGAGGGACAAAAGACCTTTCAAATGATGTATCACTCGACCCCCCCTGCCTTTGAAAAAAATAGGGGTTGTAGTTGCTGACCGCAGGGGGTGAAGTTTCAAGTGTGATTTCCATATCGGGATTAATTTCCCTAGAAATAAAAATTGATGTATTCATTGAAGTTTTCGATCAAACGTCCGTTTCTGACAGGGGCGGTCAAGTTTTCGTTGGAACGAACGCCCTGTATATTTTTTTCAATCGACTATGAGTGATTGTACTGCAAACATTTCTGTTCGAAAAGTTCGAATTGCAGTTGTAATTGTCTTAACTGAGAATTATTATTAGATCTTGAATTTCTACTATCGGTTGCTCGATAGCTAGAGGGTACGATCATGGGGTTTATTTGAAAATGATGGTTTCCAAAGAATCTAGGTAGTAAAAATAGTTTATAATGGATTATGAAAATGAGTGCTCTGGTATTTTGAATAGATAACAGTATAATTCTTGTTATCAATATTTGATTGGTTTCAGTTATTGGTGATCTAGTCACATTCAGATTTATTGGTTAATTAGGGCGGAGTTCAATGTCTAAATATTGAAAATTTTGTTGAAAGGTATGAATCTGATTATACAACATTCGCTTCAATTAATCAGTTAATTTGTTCAATATCTCACAATGATACATTCAGCAATTTCGAAAAAAACTCAAGAATCATTCATTTGGAAACTATAATTCATTATAAAAAATACAATAGAGTACAGGACAATAAACCCGCAGCCTTTCATCATCATCCTCGATTTTTTATATAGAGAATCATCTTAGTGGTTGAAGAGTCTCATTGCAAGATTGCCAGACGATGCGGTAACAATAGAAGGTCATAAATATTGCAATCAAAGTTTGTAATTCTTCCTGTTTTCCGATGTAAACAAAACACTAGGATATGTATAAGTCGTAATACTCGAGATATCAGGTCGAGTAGGCCTCGAACGGCGGGAGTAATATCTCGATTGGTAGGTGAATGGTCGGGGTGAAGCCACGAAGAGAAACCCCGCGGTTATTAATTCTCTCGAAGAAAAATCTTTGCGTTGGAGATGTATGGTCTTTGATCGGGGGTGGAAGGTATGACAAAAAATTAAGGTTAGGAGTGAGTGTGAGCGCTCTATGACGGACTGTCATTGATTTGGTCCTCGGTGTTGTCTTCGGAAATTGGTCCTCATATTGTTTCTCCTTGCCGTTCTCATGATCAAGAATCACCTACGGTGCAAGTCTATTTTGGATAATTTTCCCGAATAATTTCTGCAACACCTCATTCGTGACTTTCGGTTTAACGAATACAGAAATTTCACCTCAAAAGGGATCCGATTGATACGGTCGTATTGAAATGGAAAATTGAACAATCTGTATCGGAAACTAATGATTATATGTGTGTTGGGAAAATGAATAAGACATTCGAGAAGAGCTAGAACTCTCAATAAGTAATAGAAAAATGAGACGTTCAAATCTTAGCGAGTCAAAAGATGTAATTTACAAATCATCTGAGATCACTGTTGGTATTATAAAAATTTTATAAAAAGTACCTACAGTAGGTTTTCATAAACGCTACACTGTCATTGTGGTGGAGTTTTATATCGTTACTCTTTTGTATATTATGTTGTGTAACCATCTTATGATCATTCAGATATATCATTGTCTGATTCAATTCCATAGAAAATGTCTGGAGTACCTACAAACTGAACAGTAGAAAATGATTCTCGTTTAATTCATACTTCATATGAAAGTAATTGTTTCAAAAGTATTTTTTTTGTTTGAGTCTGAAAGTAACTTTTACGCATGATTTTCACATCTTTGTGAGTGTATTTTGAATTCAGTTGCTCCGTTGTTCCTTTGGAAGTTGTCCACAATTTTTTGTATGAAGATTGGGGAGTGACGGCCAAAAAGATTTTTTCTAGGAATTTTCTTCAGAAGTCGAATATGCGCTCTTGACACGAGCAGTTAATATTAGTTCTCAAATGCGATTATATTGTAATTAGCTATCATCTGATAGCCATTATCATTTGTAGTTTTCATTTTCAATTAGCGAGCCCCACAATATTTTTTTCAGTTCCATGAAAATAATTTTCAGTTTTTTTTTGTTTCAGTGAGGGATTCTACTGCCAAATCCGTCACTGGTTTATTGACAGGAAGTATATTTCAGTTTGGCCAATTTGAAGAATGCCTCTCCGTCCAATCGCCGTTTCCTATTCAGTATTGCTTGACAACAATATCTGCAAATGTTCCAGAACCCAATCCACCTAGGAACCCCAAATCGCTTATTTACAGACCCGACGAATCTGTGTTGAGGAAAATTTACGTAAGTAGCAGGCTATATTAGATTGCTAATATATTAAACATCGAAGCTGTTTATTGACAAAGAGTTTCATTTCATTTGGTCAGATTTTGTTGGGTAGATTCGTGTTAACTTTTGTTGTGAGCTATATTGAAAGAAAATGGTTTTTGAGGATGCGGGTATAAATCTCTGAGAATCCTACAGAATCACATTTCGAGTCACCTACTCACTAGGTGATAATGTGTTTATTCTGTGCTATATGTTTCATAAATTTCATTTCCAAAAATCACATAGTTTGGTTATCAACAAATCTGTGGCTTCATTTTGATTTACACACGTGGTGATGAAGTGTTGTTTTTTTAAAATTTGTAGCGTTTCACAATAAATGAATAAAAGAGATATCAATATATTTCATGAATTTTCAACAGAAAAAAATGTAACCCTACCTATTTACTGATTGAATTTCATCAACAATTCATAACAACATATTTGTTTGACAAACGTGCTGGAGATACACTGTCAAAGATGAGACCTGGTTAATCTTCAGCTTAGACAAATTTTGACTTCTGAGGGTTATCGTTTCTAGGGATAAGTAGATCCCAACGGAAAAAACGGATTTTAACAAATTAAAAAAAAACATTATTTCTTCTATTAAGCAGGATATTTCTTAATTACATTTGGAGGAATCATATTTGAGACTATAGTGACAAAAACTCCAAATGAATATGTGTACCTACTAACAATTCTGACCTGGAATGTAGGGTGAGGTGCTGAAGTAACAAAAATAAAATATTTTAGATAACTTTGGAATACATCTATATATTTTTGTTGGAAGTAGTGAGCTCTTATATAATCAGATAAAAGTTCTCCTCCAAATGCCATCTTTTTGAGTGATACCGAAGTTATAAAAAATTAGTTAACTGATATTGCAAAAGTTAAGACTTTCAGGAGACGAATTCACTCAAAATGGACCCAAATGTTGTTTTTTTGTGGAATAGTATCAAAATTCGGACTATGATTTTGATCTGTATGCTCTGACAATGCTCTGACATTCTTCACACTGAAGTTTCTGGTGTGCACACCGTCGTTTTCTGCTTGCTCCAAAATACTTCCAATTATGGATGAGTTCAGGAAATTATTTATCATATCCGTAGAGCATCTCATTCGTGATTTCTAAAGAACCCAAATCTTTTTTCCGGAGTAGAACGAAAATCAAAAATAATATCTATAGCGTAACAGATAAAATAAAACAAAACGATGGCGGACGAAACTCGAAAGAAAAATATATTTCGATTTTACTTACGTTATCGGATTGACACCCGATGATGGCCGATACCAACGGAATTCCATAACATATTCAAGAAACACTTGTGAGATTTTTACTGAACAGTTTGACATAAACGCAACACGTGTTTCGCTATTCAATAGCTTCTCCAGGCGAGGCTAACTAAAATCTACGTATTCAATGCTTCACCTTTATATGTTTTCATAATTAGAAATACCGAAATTACAATTACAAGTACATGTGTTTCTCCAAGCCAATTATTGTTAGATGTGTACCTCAGTTTGGGAATGAATCAATAAATCTCAACATGAGAATAGAAGGGAATATGTGCAACCTCATTTGAATAAACATGTAATGAATGAAAGTACCCGAGCTTATGTACCAGTTTCCACATTTGACAAAATATTCAGTGACGAGAAGTTATTCAATTCTATTTGGTCATTCAGGTAATCACCCGAATTCTCAATCTATTTATTCCTAAACTTTTGAAAAATTGAGTTTCGAACTTCTAAATGTAACACTTCATAGTCATAACTAAAGTCATGTGTCTGCTGAAAGATCGTATGCAAATGTGAAATTGGTCTTTTCATTTAAAAATTAAAAAAATTCTACAGTGATCTTTAATTCTTTGTGAAAAAGTTCTTCCCGTTTGGCCAATATGAAGTTTTGGGCAAGAGTCACTTGTCAACTTATATACTCCTGATCTATTCGACACTGAAGTTTGTCTCTATTATTTATAATAATGATACTCAAACTATTGGTCATTCTGTAAGCCACATTAAAGCATTCCATTAAAAAAAAGAGCGATATAATTAGTGGGTTCCCTTGAATATGATAGCGGCTGCTATCGTTTCTTGATTTTGGGTAGACCTGGCCTATGGCTTGTTTTAAAAGTTTTTTGGAAAGAATGAAGTCGATAATGCTACCTAATGGTTGTTGACAGCGATTTGTTTGATGAAACTCAGCTCTCTGAAAGTGAATTTCCGACATTAGAATATTCGATAGTATGTGGAGCATACGAATACTATGGAATGCAGACTCTTGCTGATAGAACTGTGTGGAGGAATTATGTATGACAATGTCTGTATAACATGGTTTGTGGAAAATCACTGAAAGGGAATTAGATAGTTGGATGAATAACCTCGACTTCACTATGAGCATAAATTGATGATAAACATGATTTTGCAATTTTCCACACACCATATTATACAGACATTATCATACATAATTTCTTCACACACCCCTATCAGCATGTAGTAGCTGCATTCTGCACCCCTATCAGCATGCTCCACAGACTATTGAATGTTCCATTGTCAAAAATTAATTTTCAGTGAGAGCTGAGTTTCATCAAACAAATAGTTCTCAACATCAGTTACGAAGTAGATGATAAAGACTCTATTCTTTCCGAGAAAACTACAAAAGCAAGCCATGGACCAGGTCTACCAAAATTTAAAAAAAGATAGAGTCCGCTATAGAATATTTTCATCATTTGGTTAACCCACCAATAATATCTCTCGTTTTTCAAAAAGGAATGATTGTATGTGGCCTACAGAATACATTATAGTTTGAGTAAATTCATTAAAAACAATAAAGACAAAAGTTCAGTGTCGGATAGATTCAGATTCAGTGTCGGATAGATCAGGAGTATAAACGTTGACTTATGGCTCTTGCCCAAAACTTTATGTAAGCTAAACGGAGAGAACTTTTTCTGAAAGAATTAAAAAGTATAGAAGTAGTTTTTTGAATGGAAAGAACAATTTCATATCTGCAAACCATCTTTCAGCAGATGGACATGAATTCAATGAGTTCAGACGATTTCCTCGTCTGAATGTGACACGTCATAGTCATCATTGAACATCATGCAACTCAATCTTTGAGAATTTTCAGGAATGAATAGATTTAAGAATTCGGGTAATTTACTGAATGACGATGTAATTTAATAATTTTCTGTTGCTGAATATTTTTCCAAATGTGGAAGCTGGTAGGTACAATAAGTTCGGTAGTTTAATTATCGGGACGACCATCGACAGACCGGTTTCAGTTAATAGATCTTGTGTTTAGAAGACAACTATCAAAATCACCACGGAGGCAGCTATAGCCACCTGCGTGATATCCGGATCCAGGAAATTATGCAAATAAAAAGGTTATCGAGTGTCTTGATTCCAATAAAGGAGTCATTAATCGGACATAGCACTCAATAAAGTGTCAAACCATAGACAAGTGTTTCGGGCTTTTTGTCCATCATCAGTATGGTGCAGCCAAGTGTAATGATGGGCAACACTTGGTTACTAGAAGAAAGAAATACAAATGCACTGAGCCACCAGCAGGAGCCAGCCGCACATTTGTGATTTCAGTTGATAGATCTTGTGTTTACAAGAAAACTATCAAAATCATCACGTGTCTATGCCACATTCTTCAGTGCTATGTCCGATTAATGACTCCTCGATCTATATCAAGACACTCGATAACCAGATTTTGCGACGTTATTTTATGTAAATGTATTTTTTTATTTCTCGAATGCATTATTTATTCTGCTATGCCGCGCGGTGACAAATCCAAAAACTCAAAAGTCAGTGAACCCTATCCAGCTATTTTGAATTATGAAAGGTATAACTTACACGATTTGGCGACTTCGTTTTATGTATGAAATCAATTTGTGCTAATTGGATAAAAATATTACTATTCAGTAATTGATCGATTGATCGCATGTGAATTTTCAAGAATTACATAAGGTGTATTATACACCTCGTATAAACAACAGTTATACATAACGAATCTGAAAGTCTCACCTACTTACAGTTGCCGGTCAGTTGTGTAATCTCACGATTCAATGTCACTTACGTTTCTATAAGTTTTTGCAGAACCATCATGATGAAATATTCAGTATTGACTCTCATTTGAGTGTTGATATTTTTCTTATAGATGAAATTAATAAAAATTCGTTTTTTTGTTAATTAAACATCGTATTATTGTTCACAATAATAATTCTGCTATGCAAGTACATTTTCTGTCGATATTTTTTCCAACGTGTTCCAAAACCAACTGTCTTTCAAATGGATGGAAAAAACTGAACAGGAATCCTGCTTGTTCCACTGGAGTCGGGGGAAACATCAACATCCCATCAAAGTTACTAGTTACTCCGATATTTCTTCGATCATGTGATGAACTTACGTGATGTGAAGAAAATACGTCCTTTCTAATAAAATGAACGAATTATTTCATTCATACTTTTCAGGATTTCTGGGAAAACATGAAAAAATATTCAAATATATCACAGTAATTTGGATTCAGAATTCAAATTTTCTGTATATCTGCAGAAATTAATTTTCAATAATCATTATATATTTGATTGAAGGCAAATATTTCATTCAATTGTTGAAATGGTTGGGTTTTAAGATGAGGTATTATGAAAAATATCGTAATATTACTTTTTCTTCTTAAATTGTATAAGTTAGCACATAGCCTAAAAACAGTAGAATGTTAATGACGAACCTCTTCCACCACTCGACTTCGACCTTGAATGACGTCAGGCAATCTTGAGCTATGAACACGTCATATAATCTTCAAGGGCCTAAACGGCCTTGAGCTATGAGCACGTCATATACTCTTGAACACAGAATTGGAATAGTTTGAAATTTATGGCTGTATCTCTTCAAGAGTAAGGCGATGATTTAAATGAAAAACGCTTAATGGAAACGACAAGATATTTTTCAGAAAATGACGAATTTTATCTTATGAG